AAGTCTCATGCTCGAGAAACACTGATCTATACTCCAAATCCATTCTCCCCACTCCAAAAGTATATGGTCTATATATGAAGCCTTTTGATATCGCCACAATTAAATTCTTAGAAATGCACTCTTTACGGAGTAATTACAGAGTAATCTTTCCAAAATGTGATTTCTAATCTAATAGAGGATATCACTCCTTTACTAATAATCCTTAAATGCATGTGATGGTTAATTTTATGTCACCTTGACTAGATTAAGGGATGCCAGACAGCTAGTAAAACATTATTTCTAGGTGTGTCTGTGAGGGTGTTTTCAGAAGAGATTAGCATTTGATGATGATTACCATTTGATGATTAGCGTTTTCTGCGTAACTATATATATTCCACTGGTTTTGTTTCTCTGGTGAGCCCCTAGGTAATCCACTGCAGAGATACTGATGATTTCCTGGGCTTCCAATTATAGGATGGCACGGAGAGGAGAGTAGGGAGGTGGCCCTACTGTGGGAAGCAGCTGTGGAATTTTAAGACAGGCCTCTACCACAGAGTTTTTCAGGTTGTGAGTGTGTAATGAGTGATTTTATGTGTCAGCTTGACTGAGCCCCAGGGTGCCTCGATATTTAGTTAAATATAATTTCTGGGTGTGTCTATGAGGGTGCTTTTGTATGCAATTGACTTCTGAATCAAAAGACTGAGTAAAGCAGATGACCCTCCTCAATTCCTAGAAGGTCTGAAGAGATCAAAGGCTTAGTAAGAAAGAATTCCTTCTCTCTACCTGACTGTCTTCAAGCTGGGACATTGGTCTCCTGCCTCCAGACTTGGACAGGAAACTATACCATTAGGTCTCCTGGTTCTCAAGCCCTCAGACTCTGACTGGAACTACACCATCAGCTCTCCTGGGTCTCCAGCTTGCTGATTGTGTATCTTAGGACTTCTCAGTCTCCAAATTTCATGAGCCAATTCCTTATAGTAGATAGATTATACATAGGTAGGTAGACAGGTAGGTAGGTAGGTAGGTAGGGAGAGAGAGAGAGAGAGAGGATAGATTCTATTAGTTCTGTTTCTCTGGAGAATTCAGACTATTAATTAATGCAGGATGGCAACCAATTAAAGGGGCACTTAACAATTTATGGAGTGCAACTACTATTGTTTTTCACAAAATAGAATGTTTTCATAAAGTGTTAAAAATAAATAGAATAAAGTGCACAGCACATAGAAAGGGTTAAGTATTATCTGGTGAATCTTCAGTTTCTGTGATTCATATCCATATAGGTGTACAGTTTGACATCAAGTACTTTTCTTCCTATAAATCAGGGTCAGGTCAGTCACGGTGGCTCATGCCTATAATCCCAGCACTTTGGGAGGCAGAGGCATGTGGATCACCTGATGTCAGGAGTTCGAGACCAGCCTGGCCAACATGGTGAAACCCCGTCTCTACTAAAAATACAAAAATTAGCTGGGCGTGGTAGCAGGCACCTGTAATCCCAGCTACTCAGGTGGCTGAGCCAAGAGAATCGCTTGAACCCAGGAGCTGGAGGTTGCAGTGAGCCAAGATTGTGCCATTGCACTCCAGCCTAGGCAACAAGAGTGAAACTCCATCTCAAAAAAAAAAAAAAAAAGAAGAAGAAAAGGAGGAGGGGAGGCCGAGGCGGGCGGATCACAAGGTCAGGAGATCGAGACCATGGTGAAACCCCGTCTCTACTAAAAATAGAAAAAATTAGCCGGGCACGGTGGCGGGCACCTGTAGTCCCAGCTACTCGGGATGCTGAGGCAGGAGAATGGCGTGAACCCGGGAGGCGGAGCTTGCAGTGAGCCGAGATTGCGCCACTGCACTCCAGCCTGGGCGACAGAGCGAGACTCCGTCTCAAAAAAAAAAAAAAAAAAAAAAGAAAAGAAAAGGAGGAGAAGGAGAAAGGAGAAAGGAGAAGGAGAAAGGAGAAGGAGAAAGAAGAAGGAGAAAGGAGAAAGAGAAGGAGAAGGAGAAGGAGAAGGGAAAGGGAGAAGGGAGAAGGGAGAAAGGTGAAGGAGAAGAAGAAGAAGAAATCAGGCAGGGTCAATACAATTTGAAAAACACTGCTCAAGGAGATGTTGGACTGGTGCTGGACACCTCTCCTGGACCACCCTGTATCTCTTCCCCTGGAAGTGATTCCATCCTGAAATGATGGCCTACTTTGAGCAGTACAATTAGTACTTGGCACATCCAACTATCATGTGATTCACTGTGATTTTGCTTGTGTCTTAACTTCTCAACCACACTCTAGGTTCTCTGTGAACCAGGACAGGCTTCATTCTGCTTCACAACTTCCTCCAAGCTTGGCCCACTGTCTGGCAAATAAAGTAGATTGTTAACGAATATCGGTTAGTTGGCTGAATTTTACAAACCATCAAGTTTATTAAGAGAATCAGGTGAAATGTTTAGATGGGAAAAAAACCAATGGCCTCTCAAAAACAGTCCAAATGCCAGATGTCCCCTTGCAAATGACAACTGAACAGCAGTCCAAACAAGTGCATTAAGCCATTGCTAGCAAGAGACAATGCAGCTGCGACCCTGCATTAATAAAGAGAGCAGAAACAAGACAACCTGTTTTCACTCTGCTTGGAAATCTATGCTCTTCCCCAGCCATCAAAATTGAGTGAGAAATTGCAGTGGATACAATCAGCTCTTATTTATTATCAACGTTTCACAGCAGCAAGCATTAATAATACATCTTATAAAGCTTTTGTTTTCAGCTTTCCCTGATACTGAGCCAGCAAGATTTGAGAATGTCTATGGGATCCAGCCTTGGTAAAAGAAGAATTTCAAAGAGACAGAAAAAAAAAAAAAAAAAAAATATATATATATATATATATATATATATATATATATAAAGTTATCTAAATAGTCAACATGCAATTATTCAATTATGCTACTTTATGATATACCTGGCATAAGTCATTATAATAAAACCAGAAACAAACGCCACACATAAAACAAGAACCACCAAAATAAGTCCTTGGTATGAACAGAGCTTCCTGCCTCAGTGCATAATTTATACTGTCTATAAAACCAACACCGGGGAGCTGCTAATTTAATTAGTTTGTATCGAACACTTAATTGTAGTAAGCCAAGGTTTAGGACTAGCTTGACAGCTGTTTTCATTACATCTAATTAATCTGTGGCATTTGGTTCTTTTTCCCGCTGTATTAGTCAGCTCAGGCTGCCATAACAAAATACTAGTCTGGGTGTCTTAAACAATAGAAATTTATTTTCTCACCATTCTGGAGGCTGGAAAGCCTAAGATCAAGCTTACAGCAAGGTTCACTTTCTGGTGAGGGCGCTCTTGCTGGCTTGCTGACGGTTGCCTGCTCACTATGTTCTCACATGGCCCTTCCTTGGTGTGTGCACACAGAGAATGACAGAGATTGAAAAAGATGGAGAGATGATTTGGAGGTCTCTGGGGTCTCCACCCTTATAATCTCAGTTAACATTAATTAACTTCCTTAGAGGTCCCATCACCAAATACAGTCACCCTGGGCGTTAGGGCTTCAACAAATGAATTTGGGGGTAACACAAATACTCAGTTCATAACACTCAACTTGCATAGACTGTAAAAATCATTTGGTTTTGCTTGGTCTGAGGAATCAGTTCCACCAGACAATATGATGTCCATGTTATAGTCCCTTAATTTTCCCTCATTCCAACAATTTATGTGCCAACAGTAGAAAGTGGTGCCTGCACAAGGACACTTCATCTGTGTGCCATGGTCTCACCAACCCTACCCAGGAACAACCATGTTGGCTCAGCATCTCCCCAACAAAGTTTTCCCGAACAGCCCCAACCTTCATAAAGGAATTCATTCATTTATTCACCTATCAGCACACATTTACTAAGTCACTTACACCAGGCATTGCACAAGACAATAGAGTTACAGGGTCAAAGAAGGCCCAGTCATTGCCACCAAGGAGTTCCCAACCCAGTGGAGAACACAGAAAGGAAACTTTAAGAATTCAGGAGAAACTCAACCTTAACATTTGCAGGCCTCAGGCTGAGGGTAAAAATAGGGGCCTGCATATTGTATATTAGAATGTCTAAATTATATAATTCAAGCTAGCAAGCAGTTAAATAAAGTATGTTCTTTCCTACAATCTTAATAAATGTAACTTCAAAATTACCCAGAAGGCAGATTCCAATTTAGAACTAGCAGAACAGGAAAAAAAAAAATGTATCCTGTGGCTTACTGCCCTTCTCTTCCTTCTCCCAGCTCCAGGCTGCCTGGCAAGGGGTCTGGCACACACATGTGGACACCTTCACATGTCCAAGCTCTATCCACAGCCCCTGCAAATAGCTGTCCCTTCATGGACCAAATAAAAAGACCTACAAAAGTTCTGGAAATAGACTCAGGGCAGAGGGTTTTGGAGTCTGGGTTTGAAGTGTGTTCAAGGATTGGGGCACCCATCAAGAGGGACATTACAAAAAGAACAGGGCAGGGCCCTCTAAGGCAGTGCTTGGCAAACACCTGCATGAGCACCACCTAGAGACTGCGTTAGAACGTGGATTCCTGAACTCCACCCCCAGAGGTGAGGCTTCAGTGGGTCTGGGATGCAGCCCAAGAATTTTCATTTCTAACAGTTCCCACAGGATGTCTATCAGTGGACCACACAATGAACAGCCTGAAGCACAGGACCCAGGGCACGGCTCTGTTAAGTCAAGTCTAATAGTGGCACTGATTTAGTGAGATATGTGCTACCCAAAAACTATGCAGAGTGCTAGCTGTAGCCACAGTAAGTGTATGTACACCTACATATATACAAGTATACGCTGAAAGCCAACTTTGTGCCAAGTACTATATTGGCTGCCTCATTCACTCACCAAATAATTATTGAACAAGAGACTATAAATGTGAAAGAACTGTATACAAAAAAAGGCCCATCTTATTATATGTAAATTTAAGTTTTTAATTTAAAAATGTTTAAAATAAAAAGCAAAAAAAAAATCAATCTGTTCTAGAGATTTCCACTTTTTTGCGGGTAGGGTCCTATTTATAGTATCATACATGATCAAACTGCCACTAGAATGTTCACATCTGTTGCTGCAAATTCAAATCCCAGGAAAGACTTCTCCTGGGAATTTACTTTAGGTCAGGGTTGGGCTGCCAGTACAAGGCTGTACCCACAACTGGGCAGGTTCAACCACACAGGAGCCTTTCCCCAGACCATTAGAGTTCCACTGCTAACAGCAGAGTAGCTCGTATCGGAATGTTACTCCTGCTACCAATTATCAACTCTCGTCAAAATATTTTAAAAACTTGGAGGCACTAGAAAACAATCTACTGTGTGTCCAGATACAAGTGTAGGCATGAATATACTTCAGTGGGAAAAGAAAAAGTTCATGCCTTCTTTAATATATATGCCTGTAGCATACATCCACTATTCTCATAATATTAAAAATCAATCACAGATAGCCTCGCTTTAAAGATGAGGAAACTGTTTCTGAGATGTTAAGAAATTTGTTACACACAACCCAGCAGAGCAAGTATTTGAACTCAGGCCACCCCCACGCCCTCCCTGCTCTACAATGAATAATGGGGGTAACTCAAGGGAGACAAGGAGCTCTAGGTAGACCTTCTGAAAGAGGTTTTAAACCTTCTAAAATGAGTTTTAACTAAGAAAAGTTACCAAGGTGGAAGGAACAAAGGAGAATCACAATAGAGATAAAGACCTTCCAGCAGAGAGGAGGGCTTGTGTGGAGGCAGGAGTATTATGTATGATGGTGAATAGAAGGAATTAAGAGTGGATCCTTTTATCTGCAATGAAGGGTAGTCACAGCAAAGTGGGAAAGCAAGAAGGGGCATATACATGGGGAGAATAACTCATGGATGTATGCACGAAGCACTAAGCAAATGGATTTCAGGGAAAGACAAAGCAGGCTTGGGAGATTCATTTCTGAGATCCATTTTATGCATGTTCTTCTAGTCCTCTCACCTCCTGTAGTAATTAATGTCCACCAAGTTTGTTTGGTAGCTACCTACACACCTTCAAATGAAACCTGTTGATGTTTTGAACATTTATTTAAGTAGTCTGTTATTATTCCACTATCCACATGTCATCTGCATCTTGGCATCTCAACAGCCTGCATCATTTGCGAGCAAGAACTGCGTGGGTGGATTTCACAGAACAGCCCCTCATTATTTGTTGATTTGGTTTAAAAATGACTGAAGTGTCAATATACTTTGCAAGGAAGTTATTAGCAATGGAAATGTCAAGTTACTTCTCACTGGTGATGAACAGAACAAACACAACACGTCCCTTCTGAAGGTGCTCAGGAACATTCATATTTGTAGAACCCAATTTGAAAAGCAGAGATAAACAGAACTAGTTCCTAATTGGACAAGTTTCTTTATTACATCTTGATCTAAACAGAGCTAATAGTTTTGGTCATAATTTCTCATATGAATCTTAAGATGGTTATATGGAATTTAAAATCATCTCTAAAATCCTATCAGCTAAATATATTTCACCAACTCCCTTACATGTTTCTTTAACCATTGAATAAGAGAACAAATGAGATTTATCACAATATATTTTAAAATCATGTACAATAGAAAATAGCATCAAGGTGACTTCCAAGGAAGTGAATTCTCTTTGTGCACTGAACTGGAGGTGTCGAGGGAATACTGATGTCGGTTTGGTTTTCTGCAGCAGAAAATGTACATAGTAGTCACCAAAAAGAGAACTATAGACTCCCCAACTTGTAGTGTAACATCCCATTAAGGAAGTGTAGCTTCTTAATTCCCTCAGCACCTAAAGCACTGTATGAAGTATCCACTTTCCACAAAGAGTACTACCAAATTTGGGACAGTACGTTATGCCATGTCAAGTATATGGCACAATTTGCCATAAGGCAGACTTCTATTGACCCCTGCCATAGAAAACTCAGCTTTAGTTGTGTACACACAGAGTAAGCCACCCACACTGGGAATGAGGGTGGAGAAGAGATGAGTTAGAACCTTTTGGGATTATATTGAGCCTATTTGAAGGCTGCTACTCACCAAGTTGACCTTAACGTTCCCCTCAGCTTGATTAAACTTTAGACAGACTTCTACCTGCTCACAGGTCTCTGACTTCCCTTAGAGAATTTACTTTATATAATTTGCAACTGGAGCTGGGCATGGTGGCTCACACATGTAATCACACTTTGGGAGGCCGAAGTGGAAATATCTCTTGAAGCCAGGAGTTCAAGACCAGACTGGGAAATATAGTTAGACCCCATCTCTACAAAAAAAAAAAAAAAAAAAATTAATAGCTTGGCATTGTGGCACACACCTGTAGTCTCAGTTACTCAGGAGGCTGAGGCAGGAGGATCCCTTGAGCATGGGAGTTGGAGGCCACAGTGAACTATGATCTTGCCAAAGCACTCCAGCCTGGGTGATAGGGTGAGACTCCGTCTTCAAAAAAACAAAACAAAACAAAAAAATTCAGTTGCACATTTTTATATGCCCCTTTGAGATGTAAATGTCTTATGACTCAAGAATGTCTTTCTCAAGGACCTGGAAACCATCGCTTTGAAATGTAATCATCAAGAAAGATATTCCTCCTATCTCCCAGTCTCTGTGGAAAGGTAGGAGCCTAACTTCCATTATGGACAATTAGCAAACACAGATGGCCTAATCACATTGACCAACCTCCTTTTGGGTTCTTCCACAAGATGATCCGAGAGCACTGGGAGGAAGGAAATAAGAAGTCTAATAGAGCATCCATGCTTTCTGAGGTTCAAAATTAGACTTACCAGTGGGGTGGACCAGGGAGGATGTGACCAAGACACAGTGGCATGAAAAGACAAAAGGCCCTATGAAATAAAATTCCCTGGAGATTCTGGGCTGGTGACTCAGGATGAAAAACTAAGGGTTTGGGGCAGAAAGAGCATATGGCTATGTCCTATGCTTTGGGGGACAATGACCAGTCTTATGAGAGTCCACTAAGAGAACAGTAGTCCTAGAGTCCAAGCTTGGGCACACCATGTCTTGTGCAAGGACCAGGCACTATAAGCATCAGGAACCAACAGCAACAGCAACACCTTGTGGCTCCAAGAGACAACGGCCATGAAAGACTCTGCTTGGCCTTTTATAGAGAGGGCTGGTTCCCCTCATTCAAACAAATGAGCCCCAAAGTTCTTAGGCAGTTGGAGGTTGAGATTCAGGATAGGTAAACTTCAAGTGGAAGATAATGAACTTCCTGCTCACAGCACAGCTGCTCAAACAAATGAGTTTTAAAAGTAAAGAGATTTTAATGCATTTAAAGAGGAAAGTACACCGACATTTCTAAGCTGGTCATCCAATATAGTTTTTGGATTTTTATTTTTTTAATGAAAATAGACATGTGACAAAAAACTACTTCTCTCTTTTCTAGAGACATAAAATAAATATTTGTGAAGGTGTAGAAACCAGAACTCAATCACAATTGGACGGGTGGAGATGGAAGTTTTCAGCTGGAATAATTTCCAAGCTCATATCTTCCCTCTACTGGATATGACTTAGTTTATTACAACAGTAGCACTGAGAGCCCTGACTAGGCCCCTGGGAAAGCTCTGAGAAGCTCCAGCTGTTCAGTCACTTTGGCCATCAAGTAGTTGAAGGAGGCAGCAGTGTTAGAAGCAGTGAATCTGCCTTGGCCTCAGCAAAGGTCCTGTGCTTCAGATGGAATAAAGTTACCTCAGATTTATTAAGTAATAATAGGCAGACTCAAATTACCCAGAATTTTTATGTTTAACTTAACAATTCTTATCACACAGATAAGACATTTCTATAGAAAAATTATTTTTAAAAATCCCATAATCTCACCACCCATTGATAAGCACAATAGTATTGTTGATATTCTAATGTAGATATTTCTAAACTTTTATATAAATATATACTTTTAACAGAGTAGACTCACAATGTATATCCCTTAGTAAACTTTTTTTCTCTTAATACATCAAAGTTTTTGTTGTCGTCATTTTGTTTTTGTTTTTTAGAGATAGGGTCTCATTCTGCTACCCAGGCTGGAAAGCAGGGGCACAATCATACCTCACTGCAAGATCAACCTCCCAAGCTCAAGTGATCCTCCCACCCGAGCCTCCCAAGTAGCTGCGACTACAGCCAGGCATGGTGATGCATGCCAAATTACTATTATTATTATTTATTATTTTCTTTTTGTTTGTTTGTAGAGACCAGGTCTCCCTATGGTCCCGAACTTCTGGCCTCAAGTGATCCTCCTGCCTCAGCCTCCCAAAGTGCTGGGATTATAGACATGAACCACTGCACCAAGCCACAAAACCTTTTCATAGACAATAAATATAGATATGCTACATTACATTAAGTGAACACAGTCGTTTAAGAAATTTCTACAGACTCTTTAGCAACTATTCAGACGTATGTATATAGACAGGGACATGCACAATATTTTCATTTTTGACTTACGGAATTTAACTCTCCTTTGTGACACAGCTGTACCATTTTGTGAGTCTGCACTAAGGGTACATGTGACAATGGGGAGTTGTCATTGCTTTATCTGTTTTTTTAATGCCTTACAACTCACCCTCCATTCCCAATCACTGTATCAAGAAGAAAGGAGCGAGACTGTCTCACACAAAGCATTCAAATATCCCATCGTTCTACAGTCATTAGTAAAGGCATATTTCAATGTGACAGCTGGATGACATCTCACCCTCTCTATTTGGATGGAGAGGATGCCCATTTCCAGGAGGAAGGCTGCATGCCTGATGTGTGAAATCTATCAATTGATCTTTTATACCCCATCTATTACTTGACATAATCTGCACTATGTTAAATTATTTCATCCCCGCTAGACAACCAAGTAATATCTCCACCAAACCTCAGCATGCTGTGTTCTCTAGCCTCACTTCTACTGCTGGGTTGTCTTAAATTTTCTTAAATTAAAAGACAAGAAACAAGCTTTCACTCCCAGAAGCCATGAGGCCTCCTGCTGCTTTTGAATGAAGCATCTCTGACCCTTATCACAAATATATTAAGCAAAGAGAGGTTAAAAATCCACTGAGGGGAACGTGGTCAGCCATGAGTCATTTATGCCCTGGGGTGAAATGAGAAGTCATAAATTAAAGTAAATCAATTCCAATGGTGTATCAGAGGAGAGGAAAGACATGAAAATCTCAGGCTGTCTCATTACTAATACAGGATCTGTGCGTGGTGAATAAGTCTCCA